GAGAAAATGGGTTGAAAAATATGACCCAAAGATATCTACGCAGCACCAGGAGAAACTAAATTAAACTTTTCTGCCTCCTACTCAAAGTACACAACAAAATGTATGTAACTGTTAAAAAAGTGGATTTTGCATGATATGTCTCCTTTAATTTCACCTTCAATTTTAAAGATAAAAAGAAATTGAAGAACGTCACTTCTGTTAGCAGTTTTATTCCCAACCTTTTGTCACATCTTTAAGCTTAACGTGATCATAGCCCAATAATCATGAGGGAAATCTTAGATMTCTACCTCATCGACGCTGTAAATGTTGCTCAACCTCTGAAGTTTTACCGTCCTTCTCAGTCTGGACTCACAAACTGCTCAAGCCGTTACCAGAWGAGAGACCCTGAGCTGCAGAGATTTAACTGAAATCAATTGGCGGCGGTGAGGATGCAGACGAGCGGTGTACACACAAACACTGGCCCGTGTGCTGGGAAAGTGAAACACAGACGTTCAGACCCATTTCGACACCTACGCACGCTGATCACTGAGCGGAGACAGATGTGACTGCTCTGACATTCGAAGCAGGAACACATCTGGGTTGGTACGCCGAGGATCCCGGGAGTGTTAACCTCAGGAAAACGTAGCGTTCCCTRCGCCCACACAAGACCACAACAGAGCAACGATGTGGCATGTACGTGTGCTCGTCAATTTTCTTCCAATTTTCAATTTTGCCAAAGTGCTACTTTTTATACACAAACCTTACCTCATGGCTTTAGTCCCGAGCAAAAAAAAAAAGCCTTTTCGCTTTGATGAACTGCCAAAGGGAGAAAAAARGAGAGTAAAACATGGTTTCGTAACACAACTTCGCATATCTCTTTGGCTTTTTGTTGGATGACAGACAGAAAAGGAAAGTCTGGCCAAGGATGCGTCAACTCCCCTTCATTTGTAAAGAGGAGAAGGAATGAAGACGTGACGTAAGAACTGGTCCGAGATCAAAAACATTTTTGGGAAACTGGAGGTTMAAGTTCTTTATTTTTAAACTATCCTTTCTGGATGCATCGATAGACATTTGGCGGAATCCAACAACAAGTGCAATGTAGAGTCACTTTTAATTGCATAAAATAAAATAAAAAGTTGCCAAAAAAAAGCTATCATTTAATGAGAAAGAAASCCAGGCTTTGCAACTCTCTGCAACCGTTCATCCCTTCTGCCCCCACGTTTCCACGTACAGAAAGGGGAGATACGGCCAACACCTCTGCCACCACAATTTGACACAACTAATTTGGAACTGCTCTCTTACGGAAGGCTGGAATAC